TGTGGTTGTCACCCACCCCCCCGGCTGGTTGGGGGTTGACCTGCCATCTCCCCCAGGTGAACAACAACGGCGTCATCTCCTTCGACACCCGCATCAGCCAATACACCCCCGACCCCCTCCCATTGGCCGACGGGCGCTCCTTCGTGGCCCCCTATTGGGCGGACGTGGACAACGTGCTGGGAGGGGACATCTTCTACCGAGAGACCACCGAGCCCGCCCTGTTGGCCCGTGTCACCCAGGACATCAACCAGTACTTCCCCACCACCCCCTTCAGCGCCACGTGGGCTTTGGTGGCCACCTGGGACCACGTGGCCTATTACGGCTCCACCACCGATAAGGTAAGGACTCACGTGTCTTCTGACCCCCAGGTTGGTCTCCTGACCCCCATGTTGGACTCCTGACCCCCATGTTGGCCTTACATCCCGTGTGGTGGTCTTGGACCAACATGATGATCCACGTGGTGGTCTTGGACCCCCATGTTGGCCTTGTGACCCATGCGATGACCCACACGTTGGCCTTCTGACCCCCATGTTGGTCCTACAACCCATGTGTTGGCCTTGTGACCCCCATGTTGGCCTTATGACCCATGTGGTGGTCTTGGACCCACATGTTGGACTTACAACCCACTTGGTGGTCTTAGGACCCACATGGTGGTCTCGGACCCATGTGATGATCCACATGGTGGTCTTCTGACCCCCATGTTGGCCTTCTGACCTCCATGTTGGCCTTCAGACCCCAGTGTTGGTCTTCTGACCCCCACGTTGGCCTTACATCCCATGTGGTGGTCTTGGACCCATGTGATGATCCACGTGGTGGTCTTGGACCCCCATGTTGGCCTTGTGACCCATGCGATGACCCACACGTTGGCCTTCTGACCCCCATGTTGGTCCTACAACCCATGTGTTGGTCTTTTGACCCCCACGTTGGCCTTCTGACCCTCAGGAGAACTTCAGGAGAACCTCATGAAGTTCAACCAGGTCAAGTTCAAGGTCCTCCCCGTGGGTCTCGGAGGGTTGACTCCTGACCCCCACGTTGGCCTTACATCCCGTATGGTGGTCTTGGACCCATGTGATGATCCACGTGGTGGTCTTGGACCCCCATGTTGGCCTTGTGACCCACGTGATGACCCCCATGTTGGCCTTCAGACCCCAGCGTTGGTCTCCTGACCCCCACGTTGGCCTTACATCCCGTATGGTGGTCTTGGACCCATGTGATGATCCACGTGGTGGTCTTGGACCCCCATGTTGGCCTTGTGACCCATGCGATGACCCACACGTTGGCCTTCTGACCCCCATGTTGGTCTTACAACCCATGTGTTGGTCTTTTGACCCCCGTGTTGGCCTTCTGAACCCTGTGTTGGCCTTGTCACCCACGTGATGACCCACCTTTACAACCCATGTGTTGGTCTTTTGACCCCCACGTTGGCCTTCTGACCCCTATGTTGGCATTACGATGGACGTGGTGGTCTTGAACCCCCATGTTGCCCTTGTCACCCACATGATGACCCACTTGTTGGCCTTGTGACCCCCATGTTGGCCTTATGACCCATGTGGTGCTCTTGGACCCACATGTTGGACTTACAACCCACTTGGTGGTCTTAGGACCCACATGGTGGTCTCGGACCCATGTGATGACCCACTTGTTGGCCTTGTGACCCCCATGTTGGCCTTCTGACCTCCATGTTGGCCTTCAGACCCCAGTGTTGGTCTTCTGACCCCCACGTTGGCCTTACATCCCATGTGGTGGTCTTGGACCAACGTGATGATCCACGTGGTGGTCTTGGACCCCCATGTTGGCCTTGTGACCCATGTGGTGGTCTTGGACCCACATGTTGGACTTACAACCCACTTGGTGGTCTTAGGACCCACATGGTGGTCTCGGACCCATGTGATGATCCACATGGTGGTCTTCTGACCCCCATGTTGGCCTTCTGACCTCCATGTTGGCCTTCAGACCCCAGTGTTGGTCTTCTGACCCCCACGTTGGCCTTACATCCCATGTGGTGGTCTTGGACCCATGTGATGATCCACGTGGTGGTCTTGGACCCCCATGTTGGCCTTGTGACCCATGCGATGACCCACACGTTGGCCTTCTGACCCCCATGTTGGTCTTACAACCCATGTGTTGGTCTTTTGACCCCCGTGTTGGCCTTCTGAACCCTGTGTTGGCCTTGTCACCCACGTGATGACCCACCTGTTGGCCTTCTGACCCCTATGTTGGCATTACGATGGACGTGGTGGTCTTGAACCCCCATGTTGCCCTTGTCACCCACATGATGACCCACTTGTTGGCCTTGTGACCCCCGTGTTGGCCTTATGACCCATGTGGTGGTCTTGGACCCACATGTTGGACTTACAACCCACTTGGTGGTCTTAGGACCCACATGGTGGTCTTCTGACCCCCATGTTGGCCTTGTGACCCACGTGATGACCCCCATGTTGGCCTTGTGACCCATGTGATGACCCACACGTTGGCCTTCTGACCCCCATGTTGGTCTTACAACCCATGTGTTGGTCTCATGACCCATTTGTTGGCCTTCGTGACCTATTGGTGGCCTTCATAACCCATTCGTTGGTCTTCTGACCCCCATGTTGGCCTTCTGACCCACGTGTTGGTCTTGGACTCATGTGTTGGCCTTGCGACCCACGTGATGACCCACATGTTGGTCTTCTGACCCCTATGTTGGTCTTACAACCCATGTGTTGGTCTCATGACCCATTTGTTGGCCTTCGTGACCTATTGGTGGCCTTCATAACCCATTCGTGGCCTTCACGACCCATTGGTGGCCTTCACCCCCCATTGGTGGCCTCCACCACCCATTGGTGGCCTTCATAACCCACTCGTGTCCCTACTGGCCACTGTGTCCACCCCTGATGATGTCACGTCCCCCTTCTTTCTGATAGGGCAACACCTTCCAAGCCGTCCTGACCACCGACACCAAGGTGTCCTTCATCATCCTCAACTACTGGGACATCCAGTGGACCACGGGGGCAGCCAGCGACGGGGACGCTGAAACGGGTCTTGGTGGGACCCCAGCCCACGTAGGTGGAGCAGAAGGTTATGGGATGGGGGAGATGAGGAACTGGGGAGGATGGTTGACCCATACTGGTTTTTAGAGGGACAACACCAGTTTGCCCAAGGTAGGACTTTGGGCCATGAAGTTTTGGTGGGGAACCACCCTGAGGGTAGAACTTTGGAGCATCATTTTTTTGGAGAAGACAAGGTTGGAGGTTGGTCCAACGATGATGAAGGTTGGAGGTTGCTCCAACGATGATGAAGGTTGGTCCAACAATGATGAAGGTTGGTTGTTGGCCCAAAGATGATCAAGGTTGGTTCGTGGCCTTCACGACCCATTGGTGGCCTTCACCTTCTATTGGTGGCCTTCATAACCCACTCGTGTCCCTACTGGCCACTGTGTCCACCCCTGATGATGTCACGTCCCCCTTCTTTCTGATAGGGCAACACCTTCCAAGCCGTCCTGACCACCGACACCAAGGTGTCCTTCATCATCCTCAACTACTGGGACATCCAGTGGACCACGGGGGCAGCCAGCGACGGGGACGCTGAAACGGGTCTTGGTGGGACCCCAGCCCACGTAGGTGGAGCAGAAGGTTATGGGATGGGGGAGATGAGGAACTGGGGAGGATGGTTGACCCATACTGGTTTTTAGAGGGACAACACCAGTTTGCCCAAGGTAGGACTTTGGGCCATGAAGTTTTGGTGGGGAACCACCCTGAGGGTAGAACTTTGGAGCATCATTTTTTTGGAGAAGACAAGGTTGGAGGTTGGTCCAACGATGATGAAGGTTGGAGGTTGCTCCAACGATGGTGAAGGTTGGTCCAACAATGATGAAGGTTGGTTGTTGGCCCAAAGATGATCAAGGTTGGTTCAACGACGGTGAAGGTTGGAGGTTGCTCCAATGATGGTGAAGGTTGGAGGTTGCTCCAACGATGGTCAAGGTTGGTCCAACAATGATGAAGGTTGGATGTTGGTCCAACCATGATGAAGGTTGGTCCAACAATGATGAAGGTTGGATGCTGGCCCAACTACGGTCAAGGTTGGTCCAACGACGGTGAAGGTTGGAGGTTGCTCCAACGATGATGAAGGTTGGTCCAACGATGATGAAGGTTGGATGTTGGCCCAACAATGGTCAAGGTTGGTCCAACGATGGTCAAGACTGGTCCAACGATGGTGAAGGTTGGAGGTTGCTCCAATGATGGTGAAGGTTGGAGGTTGCTCCAACGATGGTCAAGGTTGGTCCAACAATGATGAAGGTTGGATGTTGGTCCAACCATGATGAAGGTTGGTCCAACAATGATGAAGGTTGGATGCTGGCCCAACTACGGTCAAGGTTGGTCCAACGACGGTGAAGGTTGGAGGTTGCTCCAACGATGATGAAGGTTGGTCCAACGATGATGAAGGTTGGATGTTGGCCCAACAATGGTCAAGGTTGGTCCAACGATGGTCAAGACTGGTCCAACGACGGTGAAGGTTGGAGGTTGCTCCAATGATGGTGAAGGTTGGACGTTGCTCCAACCATGATGAAGGTTGGAGGTTGCCCCACATCATTTTTGGAAGCCACCACCAGCTTCACTGTTGCTTGGAGCTTGGCCCATGACGTCATTTTGGGGGGCCACCACCCTCAGTAGAAGGTTGGCCCACCCCATGGGGGGAGGGGGAACGTTAAGCCTCCCCATCCGCCATCTTGGCCTCGTTTTCAGGCCGGTTTCAACAGCGGCGATGAGACCAACTTCTACAACATCCCGGGGTCCCAGACCGACGCCATCATCAACATCACCCAAACCTCCAACGTCAACGTCCCCGGGCGCTGGGTCTTCCAGGTGGATGACTTTAAGGTGACGGGTGTCCCCACCGATGTCCCCAAGGTGGCCCGAAAGGGCAACAGCTGCTGGTTGTAAGTTTTTGGGGTGGAAAAAAATGGGTTCAAAAATAAAAAAAAAAAAAGGAGAATTGGGAAAATGGGTTCGTCTTCTTGACGTCTTGGTTTCTTCTCGTAGGTAGATGAAGACCTGGAGCAGAGGGACTGTCCCCTGTGTCCCCATTGTCCCCCCATGGTCCCCATCATCCCTCCCCCGTTCTTTGTCCCCATTGTCCCCGTTGACCTCGTTGGCCCCATGGTCTCCATCACCCTCCGATGTCCTCATCGACCTCATTGTCCCCGTTGTCTCCACCATCTCCATTGTCCCCATCATCCTCGTTGTCCCCAAAAATACTCTTGCCCCCGTTGTCCCCGTTGACCTCGTTGTCCCCATTGTCCCCATCACCTTCCATCCTCCTCATTGACCTCATTGTCCCCACCATCTCCATTATCCCCATTGTCCCCGTTGTCCCCGTTGTCCCCACCATCTCCATTGTCTCCATCCCCCTCCGATGTCCTCATCGACCTCATTGTCCCCGTTGTCTCCACCATCTCCATTGTCCCCATCACCCTCCATCGTCCTCATCGACCTCATTGTCCCCATTGTCCCCACCATCTCCATTGTCCCCGTTGTCCCCATCAATCCTCTTGTCCCCATTGTCCCCATCGACCTCGTTGTCCCCATTGTCCCCATCACCTTCCATCCTCCTCATTGACCTCATTGTCCCCACCATCTCCATTATCCCCATTGTCCCCGTTGTCCCC